AATTTTATTAAGATTTATTATATCGAAATTTCTATTTAAAGATTCAACCATTTAGACGGCATGACTGAAGATTTTGTTGCATTCATTTCGAGTACAATTTTGGATCTTTTACAACTATTTCTGATTGTAACTCATCAATTTTCTCAGTCAAATCTTTTTCAAGTTCATAAATTTCTTGCTTAAGATTCTCAAGTCTTTCCAAATTAGTTGGCTCGAAAATTTCCAATGTAGCTCCCTTTTCCTCCTCATTTATTGCCTTCTTTTTCTTCTTTTTCATTGTATTATTTTCTTCACCATCTCTAGTATTTTCATGTGTCGTCTTACGGCTTGACATGAGGTAAAATGGTAGTTTTGCTTGCGAAAATCGCTCGACCACCGATTCTACATTCGGATTACCAAAGAGAAATGGTTCGGCAGTAATTGAAAAAATTATAATTGCTATATCAATTCCACATAAGGTGGAAAGATCCATCGCTCTTTTACTAAGAGCTTTTTGCTTATTGGAAAGCGCTACCTTCTCAGCACGCTTATCTTTGAATTTTTTTTTCTCGGATTTGCTTTTCATTTGAGATGTCATTCTTGCCATGATTACGCAACAGGATATGACAAGATACAAGTTTCAGTACAGACTCGAGGAGAAACCTTCAAATTTATAGCGCAACCTCAAGTTCCAAGTTTTTTTAGTTACAAAGACCTACCCGGTAATTTAATAAGATTCATTTCTCCTCTCTACTTTATTAGTTTAACTAAAATGCCTTACTTTTGGAAGATGGTATGTGTGATTATGACATTATTTAAGAATATTGATATTAAAAAACAAAAAACAAAAAATAATTCCACAAAGAGATTATTTTTCATGCCGAAAATGGAGAAAGACGTTCAATATATTATTTACTCAAATCTGTAAGAAGTATTAAAGGGTAGAAACAAAGTAAGAGTGTCCAATTTTTATCCCTCTAGTATGTTCCAAATGATTAAAAAAAGAACTTTAATCTTATTTATTTTCTACTTTGTTACAAATTTAATGAAACTTACCCTTTATTTTTATGTATTTTTTATTTATTATAAAGAGTAATAGTAAAATAGCAGCTACCAATGAAAAGAATTAGAAAGAAACAATTGTTGCATGGAATTGGTGATATTTAATTGCATGGAATTGGTGATATTTAAAACCAAAGAAAAAAAAGGAAAACGAAAAACTTAAAAGAAATGGGAGGTCAGTACATTTGCAAAAATAGAGGGTAGGCAAGTGTAATTGCATAAAGTTAGAGGAAAACAAGAAGTAAGGAAAAGTTTGCAACTAACCAGTAAGATTACCTTAATCTTCTTCCTTTGAATTGATTGCTAAGCATTTCCTTAATTTTATTTTATAAATAATGAAAAATCAAAATAATAGATATTTTCAATCAATGTCATTTAACAACTTACTAATATTCTTTTCCTTGATGCTAATTATTTTTATCAATAGGATGTGAAATTTTGAATGGGCAAATTCTTCATCTGCAATAAATAATGCAGATTTTTCTTTTTGATTTCTGACTATGTAATATTTATTATATTTTATTAAAAAAGGTTCAAATATATTCCAAATGTTTTAAATTTTCTGTATATATGCACTTCGTTTACCTCAGGCTTGTAAGTTGTAGGAGCTCCCACTAAAGATTTTACACCATCAAAAAAATTAATCCATGTAGGTTATATTTGGACCTTTTTAATTATTCAAACATATTTGGACCTACTCAATTGTTCGGGGGCATATTTGAAATTATAGTAGAAGGTATATATAAATTAAGTTGATAGTTTGGGGGTAATTCAAATCAATTATTTGTCTATATGGCTCCACATTTGCAAATGTCAGAACCAAGTTGGACAACAGTGAGAAATAGGAAGGGACAAATATGAGATGGAATTAGTGGTGCAAAGGTTTTATGGATCAAAAGATAAACATAAGACAAATTATAAGATAAATCGAATATTTTATGAATAAATTTGATTTTTTTTTACCAAAGACATAATATCAAATTAAAATATTGAGAATCATATGCATTATATACATTTATGATATGGAATAAAAAAGTTTTGTCATATGCCCATTCATAGATTCAAAATATACAATTTGATTCATTTAATTTATAATTAGATTAATTTAGTAACTTGTTTGGTGTAATTATTACAAGCATTATTAAAACATGTCAAGATAAAAAAGACACCAAAACATGTTTCAAAAAGCTTTGGCAAAGACGAGAATAATATTATTGTTTCCACAGACAAAATAAGTTTCCTATATGATTTTGTAAATAAAAGAGGGTCTATATTTTATTTTCCAATACCCATAAGAAAAACCTTTCTTTCTTACAAATGCTCATATTTTTCTTAATGTATTCACTTGGACTCTTCATTTTTTTCATTAATTTATCCAAAAAGTGTTAAAGTATATAGATTTTGTGGTGCTAGCTTCCGAATTGAGCACAAAACTATCCTTTTGTGTGCATATGAAAATTGTGTAAATAAAAAGCATATAGGAAAGCTATATATAACGAAGGAAACAAAATATAAACAATGAACAATAATAAATTCGTTTCTTATGCCACATTGTCATTAAACAGAAACATATATATAATAAACTTTATTTATTATATATGATTGAACATTTTGTTGCATTCATTTCGAGTACAAATTTTGGATCTTTTACACCTATTTTTGATTGTAACTCATCAATTTTTTCAGCCAAATCTTTTTCAAGTTGGTCAATCTCTTGTTTCAGTTTCTCAAGTCTTACCAAAGTAGTTGGCTCGAAACTTTCCAATGTAGATTCTCCTTTTTCTTCCTCATTTATTGCCTTCCTTTCCTCCTTTTTCATTGTATCATTTTCTTTCCCACCTCCAGTCTTTTCATGTGTCGTCTTACGGCTTGACATGTGGTTAAATGGTTGTTTTGCTTGCGAAAATCGCTCGATGACCGATTCTACATTTGGATTACCAAAGAAAAACGGTTCAGCAGCAATTGAAAAAATTATAATTGCTATATCAATTCCACATAAGGTGGAAAGATCCATCGCTCTTTTACTAAGAGCATTTTGCTTATGGGAAAGTGCTATCTTCTCAGAACGCTTATCTTTGAGAATTTTTTTCTCGGATTTGCTTTTCATTTGAGATGTCATTCTTGCCATGATTACGCAACAAGATATGACAAGATACAAATTTTAGTACAGACTCGACGAGAAACCTTCAAATTTATAGCGCAACCTCAGATCCCAAGTTTTGATAGTTACCAAGACCTACCCGGTAATTTAATAAGATTCATTTCTGTCCTCTGCTTTCTTAATTTAACTAAAATTCCCAACTTTTGAAAGATAGTATATGTGATTATGACATTATTAAGTATATTGATATAAAAAAAAATAATTACACAAATAGATTATTTTTCATGCTGAAAATGGAGAAAGACGTTCGATATATTATTTACTTAAATTTGTAAGGAGTATTAAAGGATAGTAATAAAGTAAGAGTGTCCAATTTTTATCCCTCTAGTATGTTCCAAATGATTAAAAAAAAAGGAACTTTAATCTTATATTATTTTCTACCTTGTTACAAATTCAATGAAACTTACCCTTTATTTTTATGTATTTTTTATTTATTATAAGGAGTAATAGTAAAATAGCAGCTACCAATGAAAAAATTAGAAAGAAACAATTGTTGCATGGAATTGGTGATATTTAAAACCAAAGAAAGAAAAGGAAAAAGAAAAACTTAAAAGAAATGGGAGGACAGTACATTTGCAAAAATAGAGGGTAGGTAAGTGTAATTGCATAAAGTTAGAGGGAAACAACAAGTAAGGAAAAGTTTCCAACCAACCAGTACTGTAGATTCCCTTAATCTTCTTTTTTTTGAATTGATTGCTAAGGATTTCCTTTTTTTTTTATTTTAAAAAAGAATGAAAAAACAAAATAATAGATATTCCCAATTAATATCATTTAACCACTTACTAATATTCTTTTCCTTGATGCTAATTATTTTTTATCAATAGGATATGAAATTTTGAATGGGCAAATCCTTCATTGTCACGATCCCAATCCCGGCCGTGATGGCGCCCAACACAATGCTAGACAACCCCAACCAACTAACATCCCACAATCACTTTCTTTATAATTCAATACCAATTTTCGGGATTTAATACCAATTTAATATAAATATAAGTATGAATTTAACAGATGAAATGTGCGGAAACCATAGTCACAAAAAAAAAGAAAATCTGTAAAACAGCCCACTGATCCGGTGTCACAAGTCTGAGCCTCTAATACAAGGTTTCAACAATCTAATACAGAAATCTGTCTAAAATGCGGAATGATAAGTGGAGATAGAAGGAGAAATCGAGTCTGCGAACGCCATACAACTACCTCGATAACGCCGATGAAGACAGAACGGCATGAAGGCTCGCTCTATGCCTCAGGAATACCTGTACCTACACACATGGTACAGGGAGTAATGTGAGTACTCCGACCCAGTGAGTAATAACAACAAATAATGGCTGACAGTATGAAATCACGTAAGGCACTAAGCAGTTCTATATCAAAACAGAAAAATCATTTAAACATCAGTGAATGAGGAAATCATGTGAAATTCTTTTAACCAGGTAAAACAGATATAATCACTATAAATCAGTTCCTCAAGCATTTTAGTTCATTTATTCGTTCTTATCCTCAGTACTCAATTCATATACTCCTCACGATAACCGAGTCAATAGATATATATACCGCTGCGGCGTGCAGCCCGATCCGTATATCGCTGTGGCGTACAGCCCGATCCATAATACTAATAGTCGATTGCGCTCACTGGGGGTGTGCAGACTCCGGAGGGGCTCCTTCATCCCAAGCGCTATATAATTGTTGCGGTGTGCAGCCCGATCCATATAAGTAATTGCTGCGGCGTGCAGCCCGATCCATAATGTGTAAAATATATATATCTGCTGCGGCGCGCAGCCCGAACCATATCATATAAAATATCCTCACTATTGGGTCCTTGACCCCTCTCAGTCATTTAAAAATCACAGCCTCTCGGGCATAATGTACGGTCGGGATCTCAGCCCTCATACCTCTTCCTATTTATGATTAGCATTTCAAAAAAATTTGGTTCATATCATTCTTAAACAATTGGAAACATGACTTAGGATATAAATTCTTTAACAAAATAAGTGAGGAAAACCAGTCAAAATCCCCTAAGGGTTCTACAGGTCGGCACAAGCCCCCAAGCATGGCAACAAGCCCAATTCACAACAATAAAGTATATGTCTCAATCAAAAATGTAGAAAAATATCATTCGGGATGGACCAAGTCCCAATCCCCATAGCATTGAACCTCACACTCGTCACACAGCGTGTATCTCAACTTAGTATAGCACTACGTTGGGCAAATCCGGGGTTTCAAACCCTCAGGACATCATTTAAAATCATTACTCACCTCAAACTGGCCAAAACTCTAGCTCGCTATGCCCTTGCCTCTAAAATTGGCCTCCACGCGCGTCGAATCTATACAAAATCAGAACGAATAGGTCACAATATGCTAATGGAACATAGCCCAAGCGAAAACATTCGAAAAAATATCAATAACCTCGAAATTAGCAAAACCCGAGCCCCGGGCCCACGTCTCGGAATCGGATAAAATATACATTTTCAGAATCCTCATACCCTCACGAGTCTAACCATACCAAAATTATCCAATTCCGATACCATTTGGTCTTTCAAATCATCTTTTTACATTTTTGAAAGGTTTTACAATTTTCTTCCAAAATTCCATCCCAAATCACGAATCAAATGATGAATTCAATGGTAGACTCATGTACCCTAGACAAATCTGAGTTGAAATCACTTACCTCGATGAATTTCTTGAAAAACCCTCAAAAAATCGCCAAAATCCGAGGTCTCTAGGTCAAAATATCAAATAAAACCCAAAACCTCGTATTTATATAGAGTACCCTTCAGGTCTTCTCACCGCGACCGTGCCCGTTTTTGTGCGGTCCGCGCGAGTTCAAAGACGGTAAAACTACAAGTCAAACTCATGCGGCCGCGTCCCACTTCATGCTGCCCGCGTCCCTCTCCATGCGGCCACACTCTATGGTCACGCGGTTCGCGTCAGTGACGTTCAGAGAGCCGCCAAACCCATTCATGCGGCCGCGCAACAACTTTGTGCGGTCCGCGCCAGTCTTCATGCGGCCGCATTCCAACTTTGTGCGGTCCGCGCCAGTCTTCATGCGGCCGCATTCCAACTTTGTGCGGTCTGCATCACCGCGCGGTCTGCGCGATGCCTACCGCGGTCGCGCCCCTGCAGTCCTCTTAGACCTGCTACAGCTGCTGCATTTTTCTGTTATATTTTCCAACTCCAAACTTCCCGTTAGCCATCCGAAATCACCCCGAGGCCCCCGGGACCTCAACCAAAAGCACCAACGCATCCTAAAACATCCTCCAAACTCGTTCCAATCCTCAAAACACCTCAGACAACATCAGAACCATCAAATTACATCGAATTCAAGCCTAAGAACTCCAATAACTCTTGAATTATGCTTTCGATCAAAAAGTCTATCAAATTTCGTCCAGATGACCTGAAATTTTGCACACACATCCGAAATGACACAACGAAGCTACTGCAACTCTCGGAATTCCATTCCGACCCCTATATCAAAAATCTCGCCTATCAGCCGGAACCGTGCTGAAGTCCAAAACATGAGACGGATCCCCAGTAAACTTCCGGAGCATAAAAACATGAAATACCTGATGCACGCTAGACAAGCTGGGTGGCAAATCAAGCTCATAAGCCATCTCCCCAATCCTCCGAAGCACCTCAAAAGGCCCAATGAACCGCGGACTCAACTTGCCTTTCTT